CTCCACCCTCCCGATATCGCCACTCTCTCCACTGGTCCTGGGGGTTTCCGCTGTCCTGGATTCACTGTATTTCCATTGTTTATCTGCTTGTTTTGCAGTTCCTCTCAGCTTAGCTTTCTAACAGGCATTTCTAATTCAAGCTCCATCAAAAGCGTACATTTAACCTGTAGGCCTCGGCGCATGTTGACAGAGAACAGCCAGGTGGAAAAGATGGTATGCATACAGATAAAATGATTTCCTGGAGTTTAAAAATGCTCTGAATATTTAAATACTTATGGATATCAAGTGTGGTCCTGAACGGATAAAAAAACCCTAAATTTCAATAGACAAACAATACAGTTCTCCCCCCTCATGTCATCCTTAACCCACACTTCCTATGGTTTATTTCATAACATCAGGAAATAGGTGGGTTACTTTTCTTCCATCCTCTACTCAGGAAACAATTCTATACTTCATGCTTTTTATAAATCTATATTAGGATGAGGGATTTTGTTAAATGTGCTATGTTGCAGCAATGCTGAGCTAGTGCTGCTGGAACACAAATACCACAAGTGGGTGTCTTGAAAGATGAGAAATTCATTCTCTTACAGTTCAGGAAGGTAGAAGTGCAACTTCAGGGCCCTGCCGCTCTTCTCTAGAGGAAGATCCTTATCTCTGTGGGCTCCTGCAATCCCTGTCTTTTTTAGTTCCTCGGCAGCCCCCTCTGTGCTTGCTTCCGTGCTGCCTAACCTGCTCTGTCTAGAGCGCGCTCAGTAAGTGAGTCCTTGAGGACATGCCCTACACGGACATGACTGTTAGGTTATGGCAGTGGTTCTCAACCTTCCTGATGCCGAGACCTTTTAACACAGTTCCTCATGTTGTGATGACCCCCTGCCCAGCCATAAAATTATTTTCATTGCTACTTCTTAACTGTAATTTTGCTATTGTTATGAATCAGGTGACCCCTGTGGAAGGGTCATTTGACCCCCACAGGTTGAGAATCACTGGGTTATGGGATGCCTTTTCTTCATTCTTGCTTCTCAACCCAGAAAGAATCCACAGGGCAGAAGCATGATAGTAAGTGTGAGCCAGCTTTGATGAGTGCAAGCAAAGTTGTGATAGTCCTTTCTCAGGGGCAAGAAGGGGCCATCTCTAGAAAGCACGGAGAGACATGAGGTCGTAACGCTTTGGATCCTTTATACCCGTTCTCCCGGACTGGTCTCCTCCCATATCCACTTGAAGGGCATGGTTGTGCGTTTGCTGGGCTTTTAGTGGATGGTTTCAAGTATGTATGTGATTGTAATGTAACTGGTCCCTACTGGGCATGCCCAGGCCTTGAGTAGGCATGCGTGAATGCGTGGGTTACATAACTGGTCCTTCCTGCACATACGTCCTCCCATAGACTTCTAGCATGTCCCTGACCTTTAAAGGACCCTTTTCTTTCTGGATTTGGCTAGCTATTCCTTGCTGATTTGTGGGTCTTTGGGGGACAGCCCCTTTTCCCCTAAAGGAATTCTAACACACATTTTGCCGGTGGTACACAGCTCAATCCACAATAGCAACTAAACATACAGTAACTTTACTGTAGCGCTTTATACTCTTTTCTTTTTAAATTTATCTATTAGTCTTTATTGCATTTCTAAGAACTGAGTGGCTGCAAGCCAGACCATTGTATCGCATGTTTCCAAATTTCAGACCCTATTTCACATACAAATTTTCAGTCGTTCCTTAAAAGTTATTTCTTGTCCTGAGACTAACCATTTCCATTACCCTTAACAATCTGCTTGTGAACCGAAGCCTTCTACTATTTTAAGTAAGTTTTGTACAATTTGGTTTTACACACGTTTTCATTCTCTGGCATCTTGATCCTCAGGTAAGAAGAAAGTTCCTCACGTCTCCGCGATGTAGATTTTCCCCAACAGTTCCATGCCTACTGCTCGGCAGCTGGTTGACTTCACTACGCTGAAGACATCATTTCAATGCACTCTGTCTTCTATAGGCTCCATTGGAAACTGCAGTTTCCCTCTACTGGTTGCTCTTTCAAGGAGTGTTATCTGTATTTTTCATCTCTAGATGCTCATTTTCTAGCACAATGCACAGGACACAGCAAGCTCACAGTGTGTATTTGTTGAATGAAAAAAGGAGTGGAGTGCTCAGATCCCCTGCCACTGTCTCAGTCTAAACCCCACTGCTTCTTATCTGACTGAACTTGGACATTCTCCTACATCTGCTGTCTGTCACCTTTATATCCCCTATACATCCATCAAAATACCCTTTGAAAGGTAGAAATATGGATCATTCCCTACTTACTATCCTTTAATGGCTTCTAAGTACACTTTGGATATCTTATCAAGGAGAACGAGCCCCCCAAATGCTTAGTCAAACGGAGGGCTAGTGAAAATGAGGAAGACTTTCAACTAGATAGGTTGACACAGTGGCTGTAACAATGGGCTCAAACATAACAACTGTCTGTGGTGTACAGAGAGTCACTGTGAATCAGACCACAGCTTAGCTGTCAATTTGTGGTGTCTTGTGTGTTGCTGTAATGCTGGAAGCTATGTCATTGGTATTCAAATTCCCCGGGGGGGTCACCCAAAGTAAACAGGGTTCAGCAAAGCCTCCAGACTAGCAGCAGACTACGAAGAAGGAATAGGCTGGCCATTTCTGAGGAATTAACCACTGAAAACTTTATGGACAGAATAGAACCTTTGTCAGATACTGAGTACCTCATCAAAAGAGAAGAGCATCATTGGAGATTATGCCAGAAGGTAAGCCCCTCAAGTTGGAAGGCAGAGCTGCCTCCTCAAAGGTAAGTTGCCCTCAGTGACATGGATGCAGTAAAGCCTGGGAGAGTAAGCCTTCAAGACTTTCATTCACTGATGGGGCACGAGTCAAAACAAGAAGAAACAGCTGCAAACATCAATCAATTATCAGAACTTGTATGAAGGTATGAATCTAGGAAGACTGGAAGTTGTAAAAAATAAAGTGAAATCCTTAAAACGCAACATTCGAGGCATGAGTGAGCTGAAATGGACTGATGTTGGCCCGTTTGAATCAGAAAATCACGTGATTTATGCTGGGAATGAAACGATCCAGAGGAATGCATTGCATCCATTTCAAAAAGGATATTTCAAAATCTTGAAGTACAGTGCTCTCTGTAGTAAGATTATACACTTCCTTGCATTCAAGAAAATCCAGACAGTACAATTATTATTCAAATTTATGTACCAAACACCAAAGATGTTTGTGTTTAGTGATGAAGAGGCTGAAGAATTCGACCAGCATCTTCAGTCTGAACTTGACCAATCTAGTGAACAAAGTGCATTGATAATTATTGGTGATTGGAAAGCAAAAGTTGGA